TTTTAAAAATGACTTGATGCTTTTTTCAGCTAAAAGACTGGTTTTTGAGCTGTCTAAGAAAGCAAAAATTGGTCGATCATACGCACGAGAGTTGAACGATCTAAAACTACATTTTTAGAATCAGTTTATCACGTAGATTAAGAAAAAATAACTTTCAAAAGTCTATCATCTTTGAGTTAGGAGCACCAGTCACCTTTCTCCAAAAAAATGAGGTTTTTCAAATTTTCGATTTTTCCGAGATTTTGACCATAAAAAAACGATTTTCCTGAACATACTATATATATTTGGATTCAGCGTAAAAAACTGGATCAGATGATGTATGAAAATCAAAAAAATTAAAACTGCTCTACTTTTGCCTTACCCCAACCTTAGTTAAATTTTGAATTTTACAATTTTCTTAGATTTTGGGATTCACACAAATAATTTTCTGCTAAAAATTCAAAGTTCTGAATAAAACAAACGAAACGCTTCCAAGCATGTTTTCTGCAGGTTTCCGACGATAGTCTTTCCAGCGGAATGATTTCGAGTAACAAAACAGTTTTCTAGAGGGTTTTCCAGAGACCGGATCTCGGGAAAATCCTCTAGAAAACTTTCTCGTTACTCAAGAACCTTGTCATTGAGAAAAGCATCATCAAAAACCAACGGAAAACTGGTTTAAATAGTTTCTGTCTACTTCTAGAGTTGATGCCCGCATGCCTAGCCAAAATTGCGCACTGTGTTCCTCCGAATAAGGGCTATTTTCAGAGCTCTGATTTAAAACACACGTGGAGAACTGAAAAAAGATTTTCCTTATATGCATCTCAACTTAAAGATGGCACTTCGCCGACTCAGATGAAGTAGAAAGTATCTGTTTCAGTCATTTTGAGAAGGGAAAACGAGAAAGAGATGTGCTTCGGTCTCTCTCTTTCTTCTTGGAAGAAAATAAAACACTTCTTATTTCTAAAGTTTCATATCTGGGTGCTGGTCTATATCAAATACAAACTCGTAAGCAGACAAGTGTTTTAAAAAGAGCAGTGTGTAGCTTATCTCTTCAGTTGAAACTTTGCTTATCTGTAATGAAAAATTATAATCTCCACTTTTCTAACTGAATTTCAATGTTCTTCTGTCGCCTGCTCTCACTTTCTTTGGTTTTTTAGATCTATTTTTCTAAAATGTCAGAGTCTTCTTCGTCCAGTTCAAATACCACTAAAAGTGGTGATCCTAGTGTTGTTTCAAAATCAACAAGTTCGGCAACAGTTTCAACATTAACAACATCGTCGAAGAGTTTAAGTGAGCATACAAATCTTCTCTCATTACCGATCATTCACTCTTCTACTTTTTTTAGCTCGGATCTACTATCCGCCCTTGCATACAAAACCGAATGTGTTGCGTCATCATCATCAGCACTTGACTAAATGAAAAGGAAGAAAGCTCATTTACAAGATTTTCATGTGCAACAGTGACAGCTACCATCCTGATATGCTGAACTCATTCTTACCTGAATCAGCGAATTCCTTTATTCTTAGTTCGTTCAGCAGCCAGTATCTTTTAATGCGTTGACGAATTCTTATTTTGAAACGATAGGAGTCCATGGATGCTTCTGAGTGAAGAATCTCGCTTCGCTGAGAATATTTACTCGATACGTGCAGAAAGACATCCAATAGTAAAGGTTGAATCATACCTAGCCTTCCTCTATTCTTAGCGTACATAGCTGAATTCCGTAATGTTCTACGGAAATGAATATTATCATCGTCCTTCAAAAGCAGTGCTTTATGGAGCCCCAGTATCACTGCCGTGATTGAGTAAGATGTTATAAACTTAACACTTCTACACCCCACACTATATTTATCGCTTTCCTTTTCTTTTTTCTTCCTATTCTGTTCTTCTGTCAACAGAATAATAATATGATGAATCAACAGCGTCGCTGTTGATTCATTACACACGCTGTCAGCGTGTGTAATTGCACAAGCATAGTGTAACGTTTCATTACCTACTCCCAGACATATAAACTGTGCAGTATATTTCATTCTTCTGCATTTTTACGAAACTAAAGTAAATGTCGAAACCATCTGAGAACTACTCTGGTCTTCTTGGCGATGTGCAGGACTCACCGTCATGCTCCACACTGCTGACCGTATCACAAGGTATTCAACCGTACAAATTGTATACAGCAAAATACAAATGTGTACCGTGTACAATGGTAACCATGGACAACAGTGGAACATACGTACTTCATCAGAGCAGGTTAGCAAAGAAAGTAGGAAGATGATCCATGAGATCACATATGCGTACGCCACGACGTATAGCAGCAGAGAGATAGACATTACATCTGACAACGTTCGCAACTGCTGCTAAAAAAACTGAGAGCAGAGAAGTTGATGCTGAGAACAGATCTCTGATATTTCTTTCTCTCTCTTTTTACTTTAGTATTATAAATTATCTAATCAATAATTACAAACTAGATCCAAATACATTCCTATCGAATTCCGCACTTGATTCGGAGAAAGAGCAAATGATTATGTCGGATGTTTACATTGACCTCGGAAATTATGTGAGTCTCCACATCAACGGCGGCTATCTGGTAGCAAAAAGTGGCAATGATGCCGTCAGTTTAGAAAATCCACTGAATCTAAAACCGGATTACACGAGTGGTGCAGCAGAGTTGATTAACGACGAAGACGATGAAGAAGAAGCAGCAAGTCAGCATGAACCACAAGTCGAAGGAGATAGTAAAGCAAAGGAAACGTTCTGTGTTGTTTCATCGATAACCGTAAATGTTTTTAGTCTGATAAGATCTTTTTAAGCGTAACTGTTCTCTGTTGTCCTAGGCCTACTATGTTCCCGAACATACTGCTAACGTTCGCTCCCTGCTCGCTGCCTTATCCAAATTCAAACTATACTACGTCAAAGAAACCAGTCTTCAAATGGTCTGTTTCAATCCACAGTCCGGTTTCTATACGACTTACATAAAAGTAAAACGTCCGTTGATCAAAGATTTAAAATTGAACTATGGCGAATCATTCGTCAAAACTCACAAACGATTGTTGGGAAAATTGACAAAGACCAATTCAACGGGTATCACATTTTTACACGGACCACCGGGTACGGGAAAAACATTTTACATTCGATATTTGATCAACGAAATCAAAGACAAGAGTCTCATCTACGTACCCCCGGATCTAGTCAATGTAAGTCTCTTTTCTGCTACACACAAAAGCTCCGCTTTCTATCTACTTCGTCCCTTGTTCAGGAAATGACAAAGCCAGGTTTCATGCCGTTTTTAATGCAACATCCGAATTCAATATTGATCATTGAAGATGCTGAAAATATTATTTTGGACCGGAAGGATCAGGCATCGTCTACGAACCAGGCCGTTTCGAATTTACTTAATTTGAGTGACGGTCTGTTGGGCGATGCAATGCACCAGCAAATAATAACAACGTTCAACTGCGATATCAAAGGCATTGATCCGGCACTGTTGAGAGATGGAAGACTCGTCTTGGAATACCAATTTGATAAGTTATCGGTCGAGCAGGCAAAACTGTTGGCAAAAGAATTGGGTTTTGCCGACTTGGATAAGATAACAACACCGATGCCACTGGCAGAAATCTATGAATTTGTAAGAAAGAACAAAGAGTAGTTTAACTTTTATTTAATAAAGAATCTCGTTCAGCTTCTTGTTTCTAAACAAACAAAGTTCAGACGAGATCAATGTTTGTTGATCGAAGCCGAGAAATTCGCATTTCGTTAGATTAAAAGACGAAAGATATTTCTCAAACTAAGAGGCAAATTCCATCTGTCTCTGCCATCGTTCTTCTGTCGGTATTTGTCTCTGCGGTGGATCTGGTGACTGTGAAATAATGTGTCTCATTCGTAGTTCGTCTAGTTCATTCTCGGCGGTAGTTGAAGTGGGAGCGGCCGCGATGGTCTGGAAATATGTCTGTGTAAATTCTCGCTGATTTCCTTGATTAAACTGATAAAAATCGTAATGTTTCAGACGTTCGGACAGTCGCTTTGTATTTTCTACTTGTCGGTCGCCGATGTGCAGGAAACAACCTTTGATTGTCAATTCACGTGTCTTCTTAATAATAAAATCTTCGTTCATCTGTGTCACAGTTGTCCTGTTCGTCGGATTACTCAGTGTATCACCACCGTCCGTCAAGATCGTAAGAGAACGTAAGGCAGAGTCCTGAGGAAACTGTTTTAAACTATAAATAATTGCATCGTACAAGGCTGTTTCAACGCCTTTTGCTTCCAGTGGTTCTAACAGTTTCAAATGCTCACCGGTAACACTTGTAAATGGGAAGATTTTACGTGGGCACGTGTCAAATGTAATTAGAGAGATTTTGTGTAGCGGTGAGTACTGTCTAAAAGAAAAAAAAGGAGGATTTTTCGAGGGGAAGATTCGAAGAAGTAAAGTGTTCATACCTTTGCAAGAATATGTTTTCTAAAAATTTCTTGGCCAGCTGAAATCGACTCTGTCCGAGTAAGCTGTTCAGTGGGAGAACGTGATCCGAGTACCACATGGAGGATGAAGTGTCCAAGAGATAAATTTCGTAGAAAACCAAATTCTCGTACGACGGCGGTGATTCTAATCCAGACATTCCGAAAATAACTCGCGAATTAGACGTTTGTGTCGGAGAAAAACTGAAAAAAAGAAATTTTTCATTGCAACATCGACACACACACACTTGTTCTCTTCATTCTTTTCTTATCGCTCTCATGTCTTTTTTGAAAAAGTGGAAGAAAGAAAGAAAAATACTCATTTTTTGGTAAACAGAACGAAAAAATTAAATAAAGTCAGAATTGAGAGAAGAAGGAGAAGTATATACTGCAATTTTTAACCGTCTCTAAATGCTGTAAACTCTGATGCAAAAAACCAGATGAGAGGCTCTCTTGGTCAATTCTACGTCACTATCGCTCTTCGAGTGAAGATTAAAGCCTCTTGCGAATTCAATTTGGAATTTTAAAACTTTGAGCATTTACTCTACTTACCTTTTCTTCCATTTGTGCACATTTTTTTGATTTTAGTAGACGTTATTTTGCCTTATCATCATCTTCTTTTCCGTTACAAGTCTAGGGACGCTTCACTAGTTCTTTTCGGCAGAACTCGAGGAGTACTGCTCGCTCTATACGCGACGGTAGGTCAGGCTAGAATCTAACTTTATATGGATAAATGAATGTCGGATGTGTAAAGCACAGAAAATGTTAGAATGCTGGTTAGGAAAGCCCTCAAAACTACGAACGAATCAATCGGATCATTCGTAGAATAATAAAAAGCGCTCCTCTGTGAAGTTTGCATAAGACAGAAAATATAGAGTAAAATGTATAATTGGAATCGTACCAGATTTGTCTAACTTGTGACTCTAGTATCTGAGTGAGTTTTGAAGCATTTTCACCAACTTTTGGGGCTTTTGTGGCTGAAAGTCTTATCTATTTAATGATCTAAAAATTATTCCGAAATTCCCATCGGAGACGGATCTCAGCAAGATTTACTAAGGCGAGAGTCGTTTTGGTTCCAATTAGGCTCTGTGCCTAATGGGAATCGTACAGCGAAATGTGTGTCTAATTGGAACCATCCCGTTGAAATTATACGATTTTGCAACGTTTTAGTAAAACCTATTTTTTAAAAGACTTTGTAACATAAACTAAGAAGTTTTTATTTGATCATAATCCGGAGAATGAGCCCCATCGAATGCCACTAATTCGCGATTTATAGGACCAAAGCTGACCAAGTTATACTTACCATACTTTAGTGTATGTAAAAACGAGATGGTTGCATATTAGACACTGAGCTTAATTGGAACCGTATAGCAAAATGTGTGTCGAATTTGAACCATCCCTTTCGAATTACACGAGTTTTCAACATTTTAGTAAAACCTATTTTCTACAACATTTCATAGGATATTGTAGAAAGTCTTTCGCACAAATAAATTCTCTAACTGCTCTGTACACAATGAGCCAGTTTCGATATTTTTCGACCAATTAATAGTATTGTAGTCCCTGAGTAATGAAAGCATATGTACTATGTATTCGACCGGCCGTTTCATAGGCGTTTTAAAACAGGTAAAACTGTTAGGTTTTTAAAATGCTAGCTTGGTAGCGAGCGCATCAATATAATATCGATGAAATGATGCTGCTATTAATTGAGTAAAAATATACTGCAGTTTTGTTTTGAAATTGTTCTCAATGAACAATGAAGCAACGAATAAATAAGGTAAGAGTACAAAACGATAGCAGCGGAATGATTCGGAACCGTTTAACAATTCGAATAACATGAGCAGAAAACGACATCAACATTCAAAATCAGTCACAACTGTCTGCAATGACATTTTCCCGTCACCAGCATCAGCTGCGTATTATCCAACGTAATCAGTTGGTGAGATTTAACAAAAATGTTAAATTATTATCATTGTTCCAAATGTACATGAATAGTATGTTATTCTTGTAGTTATACCGTTCCCACAATATCTGTTAGATCTCGGGTATGTGATTACTGTTTTATGGATCACGTTTTACTAGAAGTTGACAAAATTTAGATCTGGTTCATTGAAAGTGAATGATTTTAGTATCTTCTTTCTGTACAATGCTCATAATAAACTATGTAATAGTACATACGCTTTCATTACTCAGAGACTACAATATTACTAATTGGTCGGAAAAACCTCGAAATTGACTCATTGTGTACAGGACAGTTAATGAATTTATTTGTGCGAAAGATTTTCTACAATATCCTATGAAATGTTGTAGAAAATGGGTTTTACTAAAATGTTGAAAACTCCGCCGTGTAATGCGGCGTATATGTATATATATATACTCTCGTCACGTATATGATTGACGATACCAACGCTTTTCTCTTATTTTAAATGAGAAGAAAAACAGTGTCTGTTATATAAGGCACTTTATTAGACTAGAGAAAATGAGACCTATTTAGATAGAGGACAGAGAGCTGAATTTGCTGTGCATATCCTCCGAATTTACTATCTGACTCTCATACAATTTTTTCCTTTTTGAGATAGAGATTATAACATGAGAAAAGCATTATCTGCTCGACGACCCAGTGAAAAAAAATGAGCGTGATTCCGCAGGTTCCTGCAGGAAAATATTTTTTCGTCGGGAGTTTCAATTTTTCTGCAGGAAATTTTCAGTTTTCGGCGGGGAAACGCTGATTCACGACGAAATGTTTTTTCTGAATGTATGCAGACCTATTTTTATGTAGAAAAAGTTGTTTTTCTGTGGAAATTTTCGTGCAGGATTCTGCCGAATATTTTTTCAGCAGAACCCTGTGAAAAAAAAATAGCATGATTCCGCAAGTTCCTGCGGAAAAATATTTTTTCGTAGGGAATTTCATTTTTTCGGCGGGAACCATTAATTCACGGCGAAATCTTTTTGCGAACTAGGCAGAATTTGTTTTCTATTAAACTTTCCGTTCAAAATTCTGCGTCATATTTTTTCAGCAGAAATATATCCCAAAGAATGCAAGGGCTTACTCTACTCTATTTTGCTAAATCAATAATATTTCATCTAGCAAGATCATTTGGATCAGAAAAACAGGCCAATTTGTGAGGTTTTTAGAAGAGCAAACAACTATATTAGAGCCAAGCTCTGATTGCGGTATGCATGTATACTGTCATCTGTACGACAACGAATGCACTTAGCAATCAAATTTGTTTATCGCTTAATATTAATTAGTTCCCGTAAATTTTTCCCAAATTCGAAGAAACGCAAGACATCTTTAGAACGAGAAAACAGCATAAAGTCTTTAAAATCAGCTCTTAATATCAGCAGAATTTTGACCAGGAGAAAACTCTAAAATTAGAGCGATCTAGTCATATTAGGAGATTCGTATACCTGGTCGTCACTCGATAGAAGAATTTGGGAGAAAATTCTGCTATTACTCTGATATTCAAAAAATTCCTTTTGTTCCGCAGGAATTTTGATTTTCCTGCATAAAAAAAAACACGGATGACGCCATAGTTAATTAAAAGTTGTTAATAAAACAAAAATCAGGAAGAATTGTCAATTTGTTTATGAAGTGCACAATCCATAAAAAAAGCGTACAAACGTAGAATAAGTAAAAGTTGACTAATTTTTCAATATATATACAAAATCTATCTAATTGTAGAATATTCGCGATGGCTTAATGAGAAAGTGTTTGTCATGCAATTCGAAGGTACCGTGTTCAAACCTACAAAAATTCAATATTATTCGTCAACTCTGCGCAAAAAGTAAACATCCCGCGCGTAATACTGTGAAAAAGTAAGTCTTCTGCAGGAAAACTAAGTAGAGTGAGACTGACTACGATATATATAAGATGAGAAAAGTGGATAGCGGCATGATGAGAGATGAGATGAAAAGCGAGACAACCGTGAAAATATTTTTCTGCAGAAAATGTTTCCGCAGAATTCTGCGCAAAAATTCCCGCGTAGTTTAAGACATTTACGACGAAAAATTTCTGCAGAATTCTTCTACATCAGGAAAAGAGAAGAATTCTGCCGAGATTTTTCGTCGTAAATGTCTTAAACTACGCGGTTCTTCAGGTTTTCAAAAGATTCCTGCAGAATGCGGCGGAAAAAGTGCTTTTTTTCCCGCAGAAGGCTTTCACTTCCCGTGTGAAAATGTTTCACATTTCCCGCAGGAACTTCCGGAATCACGCTCATTTTTTTTCACTGGGGAACTCATTAAAATTTGATTGCACTATGTTCTCGGAGAAAAGTCCGAGTAAAACATAGTGGAATCAACCGTAGATAACAAAATGGTGACTGGAAAAATGTGGAACTAGTGCATACCCGTGCAACATAGCATGCCGTGCGCACTGGTAGTGCCGGCCATTTTTCAGTAATGTACTGCAATTTTTTTGTAGGAGAGTCGATCATGTTTTCCATAAGAATCTTACACTTCGGTCCCTTATAGAGTTTTTGAATTAAGTGACTAGTCCAAATCCTGTATCAGACGTAGCATCTCCTCGTACTCATGGACGATACAGTCCTCTGAGTACAAAAGAAGGCCGTCTGATATACAGTCAGGACGTTGCATCCGTTGACAGTGGCAGGATTGGCACACACTCTCCTCATACAAGTTAATGTTCTCTATCGAACTACGCTAGAATTAATTCTTACTACCAAAAACTAAAGTTTTTATTGAAATTTTAAAAATCCGAAAAAACTTACAAAAGCCTTTTTATCAAAAACTACAAATTCGGGAACCGAAAGCTGTGTTGGGACTTATCCTCCGAAGTGTCCTCTACAAACTGGCGAAAAGCGCCGGATGGGTGGATATCTCCTTAAATTAAATGCGAACTACAACATTGAATATCCGCAACGTTATCAGCATGAACATAAGTGATTGCGCTATATGCTACTGTTGACAATTGTTTCTCTTCTTCTATACAATCTTCATTTTATCAGACCTTAACAAAACACGTAAGCGGACAAACATACTTTCTTTTTACCAGCTAAATTGGTGTTGTAATCTAAATAGATATCATAATATGATTACTTTGCATTAGATAAGGATACAATGGTGAGAGAAAATAATCGAGGGAATGTGCTTCAAAATAACTTTCATTACGAATACTGAGCAGATATAATAAATAACCTTTATGCTTCTTTCTTCTTTTGTGTGCATTATACATTTTTTGGACGTTAGAAAAATAACGATAATCCAACTATATTTTCCCTTTATTCCTGCTTTTTCGGAAATATGTCGCTAAAATTAATAATGAGAAAATTCAACATACCAGACACAGCAAAAAATCTTTAAAATCAGCTCTCAATACTAGCAAAAATTTTATCAGGAGAAAACTCTGAAAACATTAGAACGACCTAATCATATCACGATATTACCCATTGAATTTGAACTGGTTAAAATTCAACTGATTTGAATTAATTTATCAAGCTAAATTAATTTGAATTGATTTAATGCGCACCAATTTAATATGAGACTTTTAGTTAGTTGCATTAACTTCTAATTATTTCCAAAAGTGCCAATTGGTAGCTATCAATTGGACGCAGAATGCGGTGGAAAAAGTTCTGTTTTTCTCGTAGAAAAATCTGGAATAAAAATGATCGTTAGTCTAAATAGTTTTCATTCTTTTTCACGTCTTCTTCTACGACTTATTATTCCAGGAAAGCAGCATAAAATAACATGGAATGCAGAAAAAGTTCAGTGAAAAATCAAAGGATAAACGCAAGCTCGCGTCTAGCCTTTGTGCTCACCGTGTCCTAACCCAGTGACTCCGTTAGAAACGATGAATGATCAGCCAGGCAAGCTATGATTTGTCTCTATTTCAGCTGTTTTTCGAAAGTCTTTATACAAATAGTGCAATAATAACATAGTATGCAAACTTTCCCTTTCCTGCAAAGTCATCTAAAACAAAACCAGTAAAATCTGCTGCAAAGTGGAAGATTGCTAACTGCAGACCTGAATTCACAAGTAGAAAGCAAGAATACAGAAATTCAGGAAAGCAGGAATTCACAAATTTTAGAACAGCAGGAATTCAGG